TGGTTCTCGTGGCTTGGCGAACAAAGTCGAGGTAACTCAGCCAATCCCTCGATCGGGGACATCCGATATGCTGGTACGGTGGGTTCTTGGTTTGCTGACGCTTTGGAAAAGGAGATTGACTATAATCAACTGGGATTTCAACCAAAGGTAAACAAGAAAGCCACTTGGGTACTTGGAATTTAGTTCGGGGACATCCGATTTGCTGGTATGGTGGGTTTTCGGTTCGCTGACGCTTTGGAAAGGGAGGTTGACTATAGTCAACTGGGATTTCAACCAAGGGTAAACGGGAAAGCCACTCAGGTACTTGGGATTTAGAGCGGGTCGGGAGCGGCAGATCAGACTTGATTTTATTGTTAACATTTGTGCTTTGTAAGGCAGCCTTTGTATTTGGCTTCTGGCGAGGCTTATTTGTTAACCTAGTTGGGGTTTTGGGGGACCTTAATTCTTGCTCGTAAGTGGTCGAATTTTGCCGACACCTCCCGATACTGTTCGCTGATACGAGACCGATGTTTTCTTTGTTCTCTCCATGGTTATCTATAGTTGGATTGCTTAACGTGTACAAAACTTGCTTTGTTGACTTGATTGTGCGTTCTGGGTTGTCAGTCCGGTTCCGAGTCTCTTTATCATACTCTCCGCTGTTATCTTCACCACACTGTTGACTTATAGGGGCCGAAGTGTCATCAGCATGCGCCCTTTTTTCGGGTGGACTGTCACTAGGAACAGCACAAGCATCGGCATTCGCAGTTGAGATAGCATATTCATCGCAGTCATCGACATATGCAGTTGTTCCAGGCGAAAGGCGACTAGAAATAGCACAAGCATCTATATTCGCAGTTAAGATATTATTTCCTTTAACTATTTTTCCATACGGGCTCAGGTCACTACTCCCATTTTTTGTATTCTTAGGCGACAATCTCCCCTCCAACTCCGAGATACGTGATTTAAGATGTAAATTTTTGCAGGTCAATTCGCATAGCTCTTGTTTATTTATATTTATGGTATTATTCTGTTCAAAGAGTTTGAACGACAAAACTTGCAGCCGAGTTTCAACGTTTTCTTTAAATGTTAGAAATTGAGCTTCGGGTTTAGGCAGGTTTTCTTCAGAGCGTCTTTGCGCTAGAGTAGAGAAGTCCGTCGGCTGGACAGGGTTAGATAGCTCGACAGAGGCGCTATAGAAAGACTTGTCAATAAAGGCTTCAAGTTCCTTTATAGTAGAATTGTTTGGACTTAGAAGCATATTATCAGATTTGGATGCATCGCCCAAGACATCAGTTTCAATATCACATAGATCGTTAATTTCAGACAAGTTGATTAAATCCTCAATATTATTCATTTGACACATCAGGGGCTGCATTGGCGGCGATGCAGTCTTACTTTTATTGTCAACATGCTTTGTTGGTGAATTCTTAAGATTTATTGAGTTTCTTTCATTTTCAATTTCTGACAAATTCGCTTGAAGCTGTCTGATAGTAATATCTCGCTCATTTATCGCTCTGTTTTTCTCGTCTAAAATTATGGAAAACTCCTTAAGCAAGGTCTCCATTCTGGTGTCGTACGATATTTGGCGGTTTTCGGTAGAGTCCAAAACCTTACTAATAGATTCTATAATCGCGTTGGTAGAGTTAATAACATTGTTTATAGATGTTATTTGTTTTTGCATAACTGTTATGTCTGCTTTAACCCCTTTCATATCGTTGGTAAAAGTATTGTACGACCAACTGAGATGTTTCAACGGGGTCGATTCAGTAACTGCCGGGTTATTGTTAGTGATAATTTCGCATGTTTTAACTGGAGATATCTCGGCAGTCTCTGTTTCAAATACCGAATCCGCTATGTTGGTCATAAAATCAGTGTCCGTATCCGTGGTTGTTTGGCCAATACAAGTTATATCTAAGACACTCACCAAATAATTCTTGAGCAGATCACCATCCTTTCCTTGGAATAATAGCGAATTCTGTTTGCCCGGGTACCACGTCGCGATCAGATCAAAATTTACGCTGGTAAACCTCTTAGCTTTACCACCAGGTGATGACCAATTGCCTCGTAGGCCAACAATATTTTCAACGAAATTCTTTAGTGATTGAAGATCTTGCGACCATTTAATTCGGGTTCCGTCATACGTTAAGTGACCACAACCTTTCAAAGACCTAATAATGTCTAAGTCAAGGTTCAGAGACGTCAAATTTTCGATTTTTGTAGAGCTCGAAAAGTCGTGACCGGCGGCCATTTTGACGTTTACTTAGTCGAATAGTCGACAAATAGGCGACGAATAGTACGAATAGTGCAAAAGAGACTTTGCAAGGCTTTGCAGCAGTGCTGTAGAACTAAATCTACCGGGGGGGGGCTCTATTGACAAACATGAAATCGTGAAAACATTTGTTGACGTACGTCAATGACGTCATACGTAACCGGTAAAAATTACGGGAACCACTGAGTATTTTAATAAAATATAAAACAACGGTAACTTCGAAAATAAACATTTTAATATTCTAGCTTTCGACTAAAATTCAGTCATCGTCAGGAAACATATTTCATGTTTTTTTAATTTATAATCATTCCTGATGGTAAGTGGTAACCATATGAGTCATGAATTTTACTGATGGAATTTTATAGGAATTTTACTTGTAAGTTGTGACGTTGTAACTGAAGATTTAAGGGCTTAAGTGATTTCGTGTGCTTGGAAAACGTGATTTACATCACGAAACAAGAGAAGGTATATCGATTTATTATTTAAGCTTGTTTTTGGGCGAATGTGTTCGCGCGAAGCGAAAACCAAATTTCGGCAATGTGATTGGTCAGCGAAAAAATTCGCCGCGAAAATGTTGGATCAGTTCCTACTCTTTTACTTGTCGCTTCGCGCGAACAAATTCGCCCAGTGGAAAACGTCATTCTAGTGATTGTCATTCTACTTCCTGTTAAATATTTGCTAAAACTCAGTGGTCCCGTAATTTTTACCGATTACGTATGACGTCATTGACATCAACGAATGTTTTCACGATTTCATGTTTGTCAATAGAGCCCCCCCCCCCGCCCCGCTTCGGTAAATTTAGTTCTACAGCACGGTGGAAAGCCTTGCAAAGTCTCTATTGCACTATTCGTCGACTATTCGTACTATTCGTCGACTATTCGCGGACTATTCGTACTATTCGTCGACTATTCGCGGACTATTCGTATTCGTCGACTATTCGCGGACTATTCGTACTATTCGTCGACTATTCGCACTATTCGCTTCACTATTCTAGTTTTATCAATTGCCCAAAAAATCACCATAGCCCCCCTCTAAAGAAATTATAAATACTTATAATTATACTAGCTAATAAGCTTTAGCAATAATACTTATATGTAAAGTCATGCTAATAAAGCGATCTGTTACTGTTACTGTTACTTTTACTGTTACTGTTACTGTCACTGTCACTGTTACTGTTACTTTTACTTTTACTGTTACTTTTACTGTTACTGTTACTATTACTGTTACTGTTACTGTTACTACAGAATTCTGAAGATTATACACTAATTACAAGGGGGGGGGGCACCCGTTGCAAATTTTCGAGCCCTCTATAACTGAGGCTCGGGGCAATTTGCCCAATGTACTAGCGAAAATGTACGTTATGGTCATTTTTGCCGAGTCCCCCAGGTGTGGGGGCCCCCGGCTCTGGACACCCGCCAGTTACGTCACTGCTTCGAGAACAATGATTATCCTAGTGTAATTGATATTCAATTTATCTGTACTCTAAAATTCGAGTTTCAATTAAATTTATTGTATTGTGTTATATTGATTTTATGCTGGTATGATCAATATTCAAATCAATTAGATATGAAATAAGATATTATGAAAATGAAGTAGTCTGAAGTAGCACCTACTCATGTTTCCTGTGGGTAATAACTATGGTTACAACATGTCGCATGCAAATGAGCAAATCAAAGACAAATATTTGTAGCGGGAACCAATGGAAACACGTTTGTCATGACTACGCCTTGGTTGATATTTCAAAAAGCCAAGCCTTCAACGGATATTCATTATTGCATCGCTGACTGTGAGAAGCAAAGTGTCGTTACTTCAATCTCTTTGCGTTTAGTAAGCAATACATTTCCTTCAATTTTATCAAAATGGTGAGTTATTATTAGTTAAGTTTTAGTAAGCTATATTGTGACATCTATAATTTGAAACGTGCATTTGTATGAAATCTTTTCGATACGTACGCTTTAATATAATTATAGACATACGGTTGCTAGTCTTTGCCCATAAGTAAACTAAACTTTAAGCATCCCAGTATCGCTTGTGTTCTAAAATACGGCTATAATTTCTTTACAGCGTGAGTGTATTTCAGTTCATGTCGGCCAAGCCGGAGTCCAAATGGGCAACGCGTGTTGGGAACTTTACTGCTTGGAACACGGAATTCAGCCTGATGGCCAAATGCCTAGCGATAAAACTATCGGTGGTGGAGATGACTCCTTCAATACATTTTTCAGCGAAACTGGCGCTGGAAAACATGTTCCCAGAGCCGTGTTTGTCGATTTAGAACCAACTGTTGTAGGTGAGCGTCGCAGAAATAATTATCCAATCTGGATGATTTTGTCTGTTGTGTAGTATACAGATTACAATACAAAAATTATACAAGAGTAGATTATTTTATATTAACCTTAACTCGTTTCAAAGCTTGATTTGACAATATTTTATTTCGTTTCTAGATGAGGTCCGAACTGGCACGTATCGTCAATTGTTCCATCCTGAACAGCTGATCACTGGCAAGGAAGATGCCGCCAACAATTACGCTCGTGGCCATTATACTGTTGGAAAAGAACTCATCGATCTTGTGCTAGACAGAATACGCAAGCTGGTAAGACATTTTTAACTTCGATTTTCCAGTACTTTTTTCTTGTGAAATTTAAGTGCGAATCTTTGAGCAGAATTTTAAATTTGCTACATTTGGCTTCGAAATAAATATGGCGCCTAAAATTTTTAACACGCTTACTTCCTTTCCGCCATTTTTTTTGCCTTCACATGACATTGTGCTCTCTTTGTTTCTTATTTTTGCATTTGGGCTCTCTTTGTTTCTTATTTTTACAATTGGGGCTCTCAATTGCGAAATTCGATTAGCTAGGCTTGATAGCTCAAATAAAACCTTTTGTTTTGTTTTTCCTTGGTTTCCATAGTATCCTGTTCAATCATGAGTAGGTATTAAAAATAGACATTTGAATGTCATTAATATTTAATTTAACCACAATAACCTGCAGTATTTCCCAATGCTTGGAATTGCACATCCTTTCTTTTGTCTTTGTTGTTTCCTGACAAGTTATCATATGTCAATATTTCTGAATGAATTCTGAAATAAAACTGTTTCTGAAATATTTTATGAAATATAATACAAATCCCCACTTTTGTAATATTACTTATTAATTTTAAACAAATTAATAGTTATCTTCATCTGGCAGCTGTCCCACATTTACAAGGAAGGCATTTATTAGTAGATTATTCAAGCTTTGAAACATTTCCCGAAGCTTGAAGTTTTAAATGGTCAGGAAGCAATTTCTGTACATGTAAATTGAGAAGCATTCATTTGGCACAATGACATTGCTCCTTCAATGTGTTTAACTGATGTGTCCTGTGCATGTTCCATGCTTTTTTCAATTGGGAGTGGAGTGCCACCAATAACATCATACCAAACAAGAAAATATGCATCTTTGCTAACAAATAATTTGGTCTGGCTGATCAATAATATTGGCTGATGTGAAGTAGAATGACAACCATTAAATTAGGTACATCTAGTAATGAAAACCTAGTCTTGCTGCATTGTCAGACCTGAATATTATGGCTAGATATTGCACAATATTGTTGGGGATAAATTTGCTGTTCGAGAGGAAACGAAAATGAAGTGCTATTCGGATTTCCAGCCATGTTTACTTCATATTTAATCTAGTCTTTAGAACAAAATGTATTCCCGATAAGCGCTTGTGTATAAGCATTCAATTATTTGGTTACTGAGTTGTTTTCCTAATTTCCAGTACACAAACATAAACTAATCTATTATTGGTTTATTCCAGATAATGTAAACAGCTCCCACACAAAGGAAATTGGAAATTAATCCCCCTTGCATGAACACCCTACTCTGGATATTTTACGATCAATCAGAAGTAGATTCCCTCCGGAAGGCACAAATTTCCTCCACATAGGGAGTGTAAATAATTTCTGGAGTGGCCCATTGCTATGGCTTTGCCATATACAGAATGTCTGGCAAAAATGTGGTCTTGTCTGGCCAATTGACATTGTTACATTGACATTGTATCCATTGGACCCCCAAAAAAGAGTTGGGCCTCAGTTTGTGTGATGTACTAGGATTAAGTGTTCCCAAAGTGGACTGAATGGGCTTGAATATCCCTGTATAGTAATTCTAATATTTTATGAGAGGTTAAACTGAAATATAATAATAAGCAAAAATGTAATATACTGTACTTTTCTATTAAAGTACAGTATTTAGAAACTTAGTATGTTTCAGTGGATATGGGACTTGTAAAATATTATTTGCCCAAATGAAATGAAACTTTGCCATTATAAAATGCACTTTTTTGTGTTTGTGGATGTGTAAAGCCCAGGGCAAACTAGGAAACGTTGTGGAAACATTGTTTCCTACAGTACCAATGTTTTGCCATGTTTCCCAGAGTGGGCAAACACTAGGAAACATTAGTGAGAAACATAGGGAAACATCAAATGTTTCTGAATTTGGTAGGAAACATTTTGCTTCCCAGGAAGCAAATTTTGTTTCCGCAATAACATTTCCACGGGTGGGCATTGGGCAAACATGGAAACATTTGAAGAAACATCAAGAATCACAAATGTTTCCGCAACAATGTTTCCTAGTTTGCCCTTGGCTTAACTTGACAGTTATACTCCCGTTACTGATTAATTGTTCTCCATGGCTGCAACTTCGAACTGCTAATTTATAGTTATCAAAAGGGGTTGATCAACTAACTTTAGAAGCATAACACCTAGAAATTAATGCTTGCTTTATTGATTTTCCAATTTCATTGAGATTATGTCCTGTTTTTCTATTCCAGGCTGATCAATGTACTGGTCTTCAAGGATTCCTTATTTTCCACTCATTTGGTGGTGGCACAGGCTCTGGTTTCTCATCCCTGCTCATGGAACGTCTTTCTGTCGATTATGGCAAGAAATCTAAACTGGAATTTTCTGTTTACCCAGCACCACAAATTTCCACCGCTGTTGTCGAACCCTACAACTCCATCTTGACCACTCACACGACCTTGGAGCACTCGGATTGCTGTTTCATGGTGGACAACGAGGCTATCTACGATATCTGTCGTCGTAATCTCGACATTGAACGACCAACCTACACCAACCTCAATCGTTTGATTGGACAGATTGTGTCTTCCATTACCGCATCTCTTCGTTTCGACGGCGCTCTTAACGTGGACTTGACGGAATTCCAGACCAATCTTGTACCTTACCCACGTATCCATTTCCCTCTTGCCACATATGCTCCAGTCATCTCTGCTGAGAAGGCCTACCATGAGCAGCTTTCCGTTTCTGAAATTACCAACTCATGTTTCGAACCAGCCAATCAGATGGTGAAGTGTGATCCACGTCATGGTAAATACATGGCATGTTGTCTGTTGTACCGTGGTGATGTTGTTCCAAAAGACGTCAACGCTGCCATCGCAACCATCAAGACCAAGCGTACCATCCAATTTGTGGATTGGTGTCCTACTGGCTTCAAAGTTGGTATCAATTACCAACCGCCCACAGTGGTACCAGGAGGTGATCTGGCCAAAGTGCAGCGTGCTGTCTGTATGTTGAGCAACACTACAGCAATTGCAGAAGCTTGGGCGCGTCTTGATCATAAGTTTGATTTGATGTACGCCAAACGTGCTTTCGTCCATTGGTATGTTGGTGAAGGAATGGAAGAAGGGGAGTTCTCCGAAGCCCGTGAAGATTTGGCTGCTTTGGAAAAAGATTACGAAGAAGTTGGCGTTGATAGCGTGGAAGGAGAAGGCGAAGATGAAGAGGGAGATGATGAATACTAAAAACTCTGTAAAGGGCCACTCGTTTTTCAGTATTAAAGCAAGTTTTCTGTGAAATAATCACTCATTTTACAATAAATGTTAAGTAATGCTTATTTGTGTGTTTCAGTGTTTCTAATGCTTCTCCTCCCCCCCTGGTCGCTTATTTTTTACCAGCCGCTCAAAATGGGAATGATAGCTCTAATTCGCGATTCCCCTTATTACGTTTTCGTAGCGCTTTGCATTGTGGTTATAGTGGTATCACTGATAAAGATAGCGGCCTCGAATGAAAATATTGCTGTTGGCTATCGCGCACCTGACCCTAGCTTTATTTAAAAGTTCTTGCACGGGTCAGGACGAAAATTAAACCATCTTGAATATCAGTGATACCTGATTATAACCACAATGCAAAGCGCTACGAAAACGTAATAAGAGGAATCGCGAATTGCACTGCACACTCCTTGAAATTTCAGGTTTTCAAAACAATATAATAGTGCATTTTGTTATGAATCGTATGCTAAGCATAAAAAAACGACATTTCAGAGAAAATATTCTAGACACATTTGTGAATGGAATTGCAAGGTGGTTTAAAATTAACTCTTTCTTGACAATACGCATGTCAACTTTAGAAGCTGACGACTTTGTATGTTTATATCTTCGGTTCAGCGCATGCTATGAAGACAATACCACCATTCGATTCAGTGAAACAATATCAACTAATTCCTCACGATAGTTTGTCATTGCCAACATTGTAGCGATTTATGGCCTTTGAAAGTCCAGCGAGATCGTAATAATTATATATAGACTAGCCATACCTTCCCCGAAAATAACTTCAGCCCCTAGCTTCTGACGTATCTTCTTTGTAATAGTCTTGTTCGAATCGCTATCACAAACACTATTTAGAGTGTCCTTTTCGGAGTAGTTCCTCGGGTAGAGGAGAAGTGATCACGTGATCGGCTAGTTGTGTTGTTTGTGGCGTCAGATATAACCAAATCCCTATCTCTAAGCCTAATCCTTACCCTAACCCTAACCCTAACCCTAACCCTTACCCTAACCTCAAAACTAATCGCTATAACTAACTGATGACGTAGTCTGTGATGCAAATTCTTCTACCCGAGGATGTACCCCCTTTTCGAGCCTATATCTTCAAATTTTTATCACGGTATTTCCATTTCTGGTCCGAACTGTGAGCTAATCCCAACCGGAAATACAATTTCAAAACGTCAAAGCAATGCGACGTTTCTGTCGTATGACTCTGGGAACACGTGATTTTTGACGTCATTCGGCTACGGGACCGCACGTTGCATTTTTCAAAATGAAAGCTAGCTAAAATTATGGGGGGGGGGGCGATCACCCAACTCAACATCTCTTTGGCAAGCAACGAGTATGCGCAATATTTCCCAGAGTGAGTGGGTGATAAGCATGTGTTTTGACTAGTTGTTCACACTAGCCACATGACACCCAAGGCCATGTACACTTGACAGATGTTTGGTTCCAACTCAGAGGAGGAGTGAGGACTATACCGGCATGCAACGCGGTCGGGCGCGGTTTTTTACATATTACCGATTTCTCGCTCTGCGCCGTCATTGTTCGGTCGGCTCTCGCTGTGTTTACACCTCGAGGATTCGAGCGATTCGGAAAGATTTATAGAAAAAAAATTGTAAAATGGTGAATTTTTGCACTATTCGTGGAAAGAAAGCTTCGTTTTTGGGTGGACACGAGCTTCTGTTTGTTCACTGTGTGTCAAAACAGCCACTAATCTTGAATCCGGAAGGACTACCGTGTGATGAACTTGAAATGTCGCGAGGTTCATGTTTATATAGTTTTACGGAATACAGATAGTTTGAAGAATAGTCCTTTGTCAAGCTGTGGTTAACGGGATAAAAATTGATGAAATTGTTCCCTGATTGCGGTAATCCTGCACTGGTACAAATTCACTCTAGTTGTGTTTTTAAGGTAAGATGATTTATATAAAATAGAAATATAAAAATGCTCTCGTACTGTATAAATTATATAAAATACAGCATCTATGATGTAATTCTCGATGTGATTGATATATTTCGCTTAAAATTGTTGTAATACAGCAGTATTAAACGTATTTTTATTTCATATCATGTAGTTCTTCGACCCTAATGATCCACACCGAATGATGGAAGAAGCGCCCAGCGGTAGCAGTGTTGATGGTGAAACTGAACTGGAGGGGCAGTGAATGTAGAGAATGAAATGGAGGAAATTCAGCACTATCACAACACTATATATATATGTCTTCACTACTGTGTGATGCATTGCAAGGATTTATACTGATCAACCAGTTATTTATGCTCAAATGATCAACCAGTTGTCTATTATTTTACTCTGCCTAACACCAGATTATTTTACTGTTTAACACTAGACTCATTACTCATCAGGGGGAGAGTGCTACCACTCAATGGGTTAAAAAAACATTCAAACAAAATGTTTGGCAGAAGATGCAAAATTGTTTATTGGTGTCTGGTGTGATACTGATATTTCTTTTATCTGTAAGGATAGACCTGGGGAGCTTCTAGTAGTACAGTCTTGTTTTCCTGTACTGCATGTGTTTTCCTCACTTCCCTGATTATACCATAAGTATTGTATCCCATGGACACCATCTTATCAGTTCTGCAGTTTTTTGACAATCTACCGTAAACCTCTGACTATAGTATAAGCCCTGGGCTTATATTCTTTCGTAAACGATTTTTGATGGGCTTACACAAGGGGGCTTATACATGGACAATCTTTTGTGTTAGTAATAAACAAGTCAGTCATAAACAGGAAAATAAACATGTATTAATAACACACTTTGATTAACATAGTAACCTATAAAGACAATGAGGGGGGCTTATATTCAGGGTGGGGCTTATATTTGGAATGAGGTGAGCGTTAGTACATGTGGTGGGCTTATACATGGGGAGGGGGGCTTATACATGGGGGCTTATATTTGGAGGTTCACAGTATGTATGGTTTTCGTGGTTTTCAGTGTAGTGTTCCCTTGCTCATCACAAATTAATAAAAAGATCACACACTACATAATTGATGTTGATAAAATTGATATATTTTAAATCAAAAAATATTAACATAATATTACTGTACTTAAAGAAAATTAAAATGTTTTTAAAAATAAAATTTTATGCACAAAAGTAAAGAGAAGTTAAATGTTGCATCACATTCAATTCATTTCACCAGTACACATGAATGGTATATGATGAAGTATATGAAAGGTGATGCTTTTGCTCTAGAGATATTACATAATTGGTAAGCCTCTTCAATCATAATCATTTGCATGATTGTCTGCAACAGATATGAATTCAATGAATGCTTTATCTTCTTCAAAATATGTCCATTTATGAAGTTTTACTGGGAATTTCTTTGGAGGAGTCAGTTTAATCTGTCTGATAGGAAACTACAAAACAAACAGCAAAAGTGAGAGGGGCAATCCGGCAATGTCAGTGCCAGGCTGCCTACCAGCACAATTAGACAACAACAAAGAAACTCATGGATTTTTACCAGGATTGTGGGCATGCTTCTCCAGGAAATTTGTGTACTATAGGTTTTCTGGAATGCCACTCCCAGCATTGAAAAATAATAGTGGCGTACGGGTGGATATAAACTGCCCGACATTGTCATGAGTTTATTGATAGATGAACAAGAGGTATAAAATAGAAGGAACACATCTCCTATACAGACTTGCAGAAATACTAAACACTGACTGGAGGGGTTGCAATGCCC